AGGACCGAGCCCTGCGGGACCCCACTGCCCACACCCTTCCAGGTCGAAGCCGACCCATCCACCACGACTCTCTGGGTGCGACCCTCTAGCCAATTCGCCACCCACCGGACTGTGTAGTCATCCAAGTCACAGCCTCTTAACTTGTTCACCAGTATGGGGTGGGATACCGTATCGAAGGCCTTCCTGAAGTCTAAGTATACGACATCCACCCCTCCTCCTGTGTCCAGGCATTTCGTAACCTGGTCATAAAAAGAGACTAGATGTCAGGCACAACCTGCCTGCTACGAACCCGTGACCACAAACATGAGGTGCCCACATATTTACACACCACACAATGTCCCCTATTTTGCCTTGCTCCCACCCTTGTGGGCAGAAGGGTCTGGCCCAGCCAGCATGTAGCTTCCAGGTGGGGCTGCTGCTGCCACTGCTGCAGGCGCCCTGGGACCTGCTTAGCTTCCGCAGCATCTTACTCACTCCAGGCAGCAGGTAGAGAAGCAGCAGGGGTGGGGGTGGGGGTGGGGGCAGAGCAGAGCTGCAGCTGGGGCAGGAAGCATGAGGCTGGGGCCGGTGGCAGCCCAGAACCCATGCCCAGGGAGCCAGGGGGGCATGGAGCTTGGGTGGGCAGGGTGTGGGTGTGAGGGTTCATGGCGGGATGTGGGGATTCCTTACATCCTCCCCCCCAAATTGTGCACAGCCTCTGCCGGCAGCAGCAGGAGCACCAGCAGGTGGGAGTACTTGTGCCTGGCGCAGGGACTGCTGCCTGGCAGTGCATGGCTCTAGCCGGCGGTGGGAACACGGGTGTGAAAAGTGAAACCCAGCCAGGCCACCTCTATTGCAGTGGCTCCATGTGATGCACTTGCAACCCTTGGCACTCGTGCAGCACTGGGAAGGCCCAGCATGCTGGAGCTGGCTGCCCCCTTGCTGCTTAGGTCCTGGGACTCCACCAGAAGTGGAGGGGAGCCCCACCCACTACTTTCCCACAGAGTCCTGGGACCTGCATGGAAGGGGGCAAGGAAGGCAGCCAGCTCTAGTATGTGGGGCTTTCGCAGTGCTGCACAAGTTCAGGGGGCTACATATGCACCACATGAAACCCCCGCAATAGAGGTAGACTGGCCAGGCTGCACTCCTCATCCCCACATGCAGCAGTGGCCAAAGCTGTGCGCCATCAGACACTAGCACCTGCACCAATACAAATGTCCCAAATACCCCTACCTGCTGGTGTTCCTGTTGCTGTCAGAGGGGGCTGTGCACTATGCATGGGGAGGGGGAGAGGGAGTCCTCAGATCCTGCCACGATCTCTCACACTCCACAAAAGCCACACACCCACACCATGGTCCCACAACCTCCACACATATATACATACCCCCAACATATTCTATTGCCTTCCCACACCCTACCATACACACACACACCCCACTCCCACACTCCACCACACACACGCACGATATACCAGAGTAAGACTTTATTTTTGAGTCATTCTGCAATCACCTCCATATGCAAACACAATCCCCCAAATATACGTTATGCAAACACAAATCACAACAAAAATATTTTTTGTAATAAAATTAAAATATGGTATAGTAGGTGTTTGACTTTTAGTGTATGATTTGGGTTTTTTTCCAAGATGGAAATTCCCCGCCCAAAGGAATATTTTCAGGGGCCAAGTGGAGGTACTTCCAGTGGCAAAGGTCAGGGGTTAGGGGAGGAACTTCTGGTTCCAAGATGATGACTGGAGCGGGGTGGGGGGTGGAAGACAACAGTCAAGGGGTGGAACTACCTACATGGCCCTCAACAGTTCACCAAAACTCATTAAGAGGCCCTCCAGCCAAAACAATTGCCTGACCTGAACCTAGCCCCTGTGCTGTCTCAAAGGGAGTTTGAACCTGGGCTTCTCTGAGTTACCAGTACAGTGTTCAAACCACCATGCTGCAGGTTCAGTCCCTTCACCAATCCACCATTAGAGGCCGAGCCATAGCCCCTGCATTTAATATAATCGTTAGGACAAAAAATGGATGGAGGGCAGTGTTGGAAGAAACTCCATCTTACTGGAACTAACACTCCAGGGCCACTTCCCTGCCAGGCCAGCAGCCACCTCATTAAGCCACGTGTTCTTCAGCTTGTGGTCTTCCTCCTGGCCCTGCATATTTCCTGCATTCTTTTTAATTGTTGCCACCCAGGAGGCTAGCTTCAAAAGGGGTGCCAGAGAATGAGCTGGCTAATGGCTGACCTGTGGTGTAGTTATTACAATACTGTGTTGGAAGAAGCCTAGGCTTCTTTGGTGAGTGGAGCCTAGAATCCAGGATCTCTGACTTCCTAGGTGAATGCCTTAGTAAGTCGGGTTGTGGTAGCAAAGCATAGGAAGCCTCTCCTCTGTCTCTGTTGCAAGTGAGCACGTGCAGTCTACACATGTAGATGAGTACATACACTAGCAGGTTACATGGCTAGGAACAGAATTATGATCTGGGCAGAATTATGAATGGCATTTTTGGCACCTAAATAACCAAGTAGGGAACAGAATGCTACCCTCGACACCTTTAGAAAACTGACCCTTAAGCCATGAAACACCAAGCAGAGCAATATTTAAATACCTTTTAAATATCTCTGGGCTTTAGTGCCCAACACAAAGTACCTCATAGCATTCATAGTCAAAACATACTCCTCCTGTCCTGTACTGCTGAGAGACAGCTTCTGGCTTCTGTGGAAGAACTGGCAAACTAATCAGATAAAAATGTTATGGTGGGGAACCATTTTTTTTTCTTTGTCAGTTGTGAAAATCAATTTTCCACCCTTTTCTCCATCATCAGTTTTCCATATTGTTAACCATAGGCTTGCTTTTCTATGACTCCAGACTCCTCTGGCCATGCAGATCTCTACTGAATTTCATCACCTTTCTTAGTTTTGACAAGCAATAAATTGCCTCCAAATAAGAAAAAAAAAGATTTTCTTACAGTTTTGAAATTAGAGAGTCAGCCTGGATAGAAGGAATGAATCTACAAATTGAAATGCTAAGGCTAAGTGTAGCAGGCTCGTAAAGAGCAAATTTGGTAGACCTAATTCATCCTAGAACCTTTTCCTTTTTTATTGTTTAATAGACTTTAGTTTTTACTAACGAATCCAAAGTTTTAGTAGTTAAAAAGCATTTTGTCATTGTTGCCTTTGATACAACCATTGATTTACTATGCCAGCTGAATCATGGTTATTGCTCACACTGGGCACATCTACACATGCAGTTAGCATGGCTGAATACTGTGGCACAGTTTGCACCAGAGTTTATTGCTCCCAGGCACAGTGTTACACATGCATGCAAAACTGCAGCATGTTGAGCTGAAGCGGCATAGCCCCAGCTAGCAGGGGTCCTTAGAGGGGTCAGCCTGCCAGCCTGGAGCTGCTCCACCTCAGCTCAGCGTGGTGCAGAGGGGGCTGGCTGGGGCGTGAGGGTGCTACAGTGCAGGGCTAAGCAGCAGGCAGCCCTACACTGTAGCACCCTTGTGCCCCAGGCAGCCCCTGTCACTGTCTACATGCACGTTGTGGTACGCTAAATAATTGTACCATAGGATAGTACTTGTCTTGGGCAGTACTATCCTACAGTCATAGATGGATTACTGCACAGGTCAGTTGGGCCTGGGACCAGGGGCCACTGCCAAACAGGAACCCTAAATGTCTGGAGGGCAGGCACTGTGTGGGGAGGCGGAGGGGGACAGCTTGGTGCAAATGCAACCAGCAGCTGGGCCGGGTCAGTTATGTATAACGCAATGAGGCATGGGGCATAACTGTGCCAGAGACCTGAGAGCAGCCAGAGCCACTGGCAGCAGGGAGCAGAGTCTGGCATGGTGCGTGGCCAAGACCTGCCAGTGGTGGGGCAGCCCCAGCACAGCCAGGTCCCAACCATGATCCTGCACATTGGCCGGGTGCCGCTGCAGCTGTACTGGGCCGTGGCAGGGTGAGGGGTTGCCCCCAGAGCTTGGTTTGTACCACCTGCACCCAGTGGACAGCAACTCCACACCCCCAGTGCCACCCGGCCACAGAGCGATGTTGTATGGGGTCCTGCGCAACCGGCCCTGGGCTCTGGCTCCAGCGTGGACCTGCAGGGTGGGGTTGGCCACGGCTCTTACCCCAGGCCCATCCCACTCCGGCTGCTGCTCCAACTGGAGCCTGCAGGTGCAGGGGAAGGTATGGGTTGGGGGTGGGGCCCAGGCCCAGGGCCTCAATGAATCTTAATCCACTTCTGCCTACAGTGGAGTTAAATAGTTTATTCCGACTTAGTAGCACCGCACATGTAGGCAGCGATGCTTTACTATGGGGCTAATTAATCAACTGCAGTAAAGTGCACGTGTAGATGCCCCCCACTGTGTTTTATCAGAGAACTTAGATAAGATACAGTACTTTCTCTTGGTATGAAAGAGTGGCAGGACTGTCTAGTAGTTAATGCAGCAAATTGGTAAATGGGGCTTTTTGGGTTATTTCTGGCTTTGTTACTGACTCATTCTCTGATTTGTGAAAATGTGACTTTGTGCCTCAGCCAAAAAGGTTAAATACCAATTTTTCAGAGATGCTAGAAGGTTTACTTATTATTTGTAAAGTGTTTATAGAAATCTATGGGGGATGGTGTGTCACACGATTGTTCAGTAGATGCATTTGTATAACACTTCAGGACATTTACGGTAGTGTTCTATTTAAATAACTGTTTCTAAACCTCAGGTGTAACCTTCCTCCAACCACAGGAAGCATTAGCAAAGATGTTGGCAATAAAACAAATCTTGTGACTGTTAATCCAAGCATCATTGCACAGAAGTAAGTATTGCTACAATTTCGTTTCTTTGTCATATTGTTTAATTTTTTTGACATTGTTATAAACCTTTTGGAATGTCATCAGAGTTAACAATGAATTCATACTGTTTTTATGATTGAATTTAAGATCTACTGGTGTAAACAAAATTATTAAGCTAGTCTCCTATTTTTTTGACAGCAGAGAGGCAACAATACAGAGAATAGCAGTGCCTCTATTTGAAACCCACTCACATTTTCCTAGTTATGGGCTATAGCAGCACTCCTCATTACAAGCCCACTCTCTGAAAAAAATCACATTATAGCCATGCTTTTGGAAAGCCTTTCAGCATATGCTGAAATACATCATTGGATTTTAAACACATGCTTATATTGATCTCTCTCTCTTCATCATTCCTAAAGTTTTTGTCTTCCCTGACTTGACAAAAAAGTCTGGTAAGGACTTACTAATTAATATAGTACCTCAAATTACATCTTGGGTCATTAGCTGTTGTAACTTGAGCTTATCTACAAAATGGACCTTGAATATATTACTACGTTTGCTTCCATTTAAAAGTAAGGCAGAAACAGTACAGTAAACAGAAAACTGATAGAAGGGAGTTTGTCATTGAACCAGGGAGACAGCTGCAGTCTTCAGAATAAATTCTGCTTTGATGTTCATGCAACGCTTATTGACTTAAATGGAGATGTATTGTTGCCATATACCAGAATTTGGCCCTTTGACTTCAGCAGGGTTACACAAGGTGCAAGTGAAAGTAAATTTAGCCTAGTGACTTGGCACAAGGATAGAGCTTCATGGCAGCTACTGAAGTTATTTATTGTTACTTACAGGTTTAATCATGATGTCTTAGTATATTTTCCTTGTATCTTGCTTCAGTTAAACCCTCCCTGAAGTTAATAGCAGTTGAGCTTGAATAAGAATTAAATGAAAATGAGTGAGGATTTGGGATTCAGCCATTTGAACAATTTCATTATTAAGAGATAAGAGCCTTTGAAGGAGGAGAGGGCTGAAACCTGGCCTTGATTAATAGGGCTGCATTTGTTTTGTTTGCACTTTCAAAGGAGATCCTGAAAAGAACTAAGTCAATGGGAGCTCTAGAACTCTAGCTTGAAAAATCAGACCAGTATTTTTCACAAAGCCCTAATTCTGCAGCATTTCAATGCATACTATTCTGTAACTCCCTAAGATGACTTGGATGCGTGAAGTTAGACACGTGCATAAATCTAGTGAGAATTAGCACCTTCATTTGTAGAGCTACCACTGTAGAGATGTAATGGATACTTTTTATCAAGATGTTTGTTACAATATGCATGTTTTTAAATGTTCTAACTACATCTTCCTTTGCAATTCCTGGGTTTGGCCACTGCTGGAACCAAATCCTGAATTAGTTGGTTATGAGTCTGATCTGCGTTGGCAATCCCTATATTACAGAGTAAATTATTTAGGGAATTTGCTGTTATTGTATATTACATCCAGGCTTTCATAGCAGCATGTGCAAAACTGCCAACATGCATTATGGACATACATTTACTAATAGTGTTCACAAATGATATCCATGAAGATCTGGCTTGTAACATTTTTATATCTATACAACATTCAGCCTTTCTTTCTCTGAAATTGATATATTCACTAAGCATTTCTATTTGACAGATACAAGAAACTGAAAGCAAAGAAGATGACATTTCTGCAGAACATTGCAGTTTATGGAGATGCTTTTCTTTTATTGCCAGCATTTTCCTTCAGAAGCAACACAGCTGCTTCTTTTAAAGTATACCATACTCTTCACGAGTTCGGAGCAAAACAGAGGGCAATATTTTTTCATCCAAGGTACCTGAAAAGCCTTGCCCGGTTCTGGAGAACTAAGGGCGTGAAAGCATATCGATTGTCTTCTGGTTTTATGATCACTAGTGCTGCTGTTGAGCTGTGTGAGAATGTGAAGTTGTATGGCTTCTGGCCTTTCTCAAAAAACATAGAGGAAGTGCCAATCAGCCATCACTATTATGACAACCAGCTGCCTAAACCAGGTTTCCATGCAATGCCTAAAGAATACAACCAAATTCTGAAGCTTCATGGGAAGGGTATTTTGAAGCTGCAGTTTGGTCAGTGTGGATGAGACTAATCAGGTAAGTCACATTCTTCAAACATAAAGCATTTCAGTTCAAATAAGTGCCAAGCAAAATAGCACGGTCTATTATCTCTCACACGTGCACTTTTCTCCCAAACAGTCAATCAGGGGTTGAAAACCTACAGCCTGTTTGCTGGATCCAGCCCACAGAGAGATTTTATCTTGCCCATGAATCAGTGGGAATAACTGGTGGCAGGGGGAGGCAGTGGCAAGTGGCAACAAGGGAAACAATGGCAGCTGCTGGGGTTGCAAGTGGTGGCCTGCTCTAGGATTGAGCGGCATTAATTCAGCCCTCTGTTGCTAAAAGGTTGCTGACCCCTGATGTACATGAATTAGTAGGAGAAAGAACTTTTAAAAATAAATAAATGCATAGTACAATGAAGTTGAAAAGTTAGTCACATCTGTTCCTTTTCCTCTATGCTGTGGATCTCTAAAAGGTGCTTGTTAAGTATATGCAGGATTGTCAGAGATTATGATAGCCATAATTCTGTCAGTCAAGTTCCATCATCCCAAAGATGTGTTGCTTCCTTATGCTTCTCTACATTTGGTTTGGTGTGGCTTCCCAAGGATGTATTGTTTTAATTAAAATTGGTTGTTTTACTGAAGATGGTCACACTGTGCATTTGAGAGAGGGCCAAATTCTAGCCCTGTATAGTCTTTTACACTGTGCAAATGTACAAACAAGAGAGTATAGAAGGCCCTAGGACAATTCAGCCAGTTCTGAGCAGTCATATGGCTAGTGAGTGACCCCCCTCAACTTGCCTACTTTAGAGAAGAGGCATGGCTAAAATAATCCATGCTCTAGTAATATTCATTTGTAGAGCAGTCTCTTGACAGCAATAGAGAGACTACCATAATTTACAGCAGCTCTTTGGGATGCACTGACCTGGATGGGAAGTGCATCTCAGAATAACCCAGAATCTGGGAAGCATAAATGTGGCATATGGTGCAAACAAATTGGCCCCTTGAAAGCACGTTAAAGCCACGCCCAAATGGAAGAGCACAGCTGCAGAGCTCCAGTCATGCAACAAATTAGCCCTCATCGTATAAGGGCTCAAATGAAGACAGTCCAAAGCAGAGTGACTTCATTAATTTCTGGCTACTTCGGCTTCAATAGCAGCCTGACCTGAGCTGCTGTCTCTGGATGGGGTGGGGAGTAGGCAGGGGAAGGGAGATAATTTCTGTTGTTTTCTCAGCCCCACTGGAATGGGAAGCCCTTCATCTCGTGGGGGTGGGGCTCCAGTCTACCCACCCTGCCACTCCAGTGGGGCTGAGAAAACCCCAAAATGACCTCCCTCCTCTGCCTCCCTGCCAAGGCTGTGCAGAACAGCACCCTTTTGTTTTGACTTCTGTTTAGCCATTTCAAAGGGACAGTGTTTCATTTCATCATTTTGTTTTTTGTTTTGTGTTTTGTTTTGTTTTGTTTCGTTTTGTTTTGTTTTGAAGCACTGTTCCGTTTAGTCGCAACACATTGAAACAGCTTTGATGCTTCACCCATAGGCTATAATGGGGAATCATGAAAATGCCTAAAACTTTGTCATTTCTTGCCTGATTCAGATAAAAAATGCAAGGATGAGGTAGCCCCTTCTGAAGACATAAAGCCTGCCAGGTTTCAAGGAGATAGGTGTAGAGGTTTCTGGGAAACTGCACCTCAAACAGTTGAAAGGAAAACTCATGTCACTTGCCGGCAGGGGTAGCCTCCTGTCATCCTGCATGCATATATGGGGGCCCGCACCCCTGGGAGGGCTGCAGGGCTGTGCCAGACTCCTCCCGGGAGTGCGGGCCCCCAGATCTGCACATGGGATGACAGGAGATTGCTGGTGCTGCCTGAGGCCAGAAGCAACAGCAGTCTTCCCGGTGCTGGGCGCAGGGTGCTCGCAGGGTGCTCCCAGTGCCAGTCCCAGGAAGCAGCAGCAGCCTGCTGTCATCCTGCATGCAGATCCAGGGGCCTGCATCCCCAGGAGGGCTGCAGGGCTGTGCCAGACTCCCCCTGGGGGTCACAGGCCCCTGGATGTGCACACAGGATGACAACAGGCTGCCCCTGACACCTGGAACCAACGATGAAGCCAAGTAGGCCTGGCTTTGGAACTCGAAACATTTCAAAACTTTCAAAACATTTTGAGTGCCCTCCTTTCGTTTCAAAGCTGTTTTGAAGCCTTTTGTTTTGTTTCAATTTCACTCTGAAATTAAACACCTGGTGAAATTGTGCATAGCCCTACTTCCCGCTCCGCCTCCTCCAGCGACAGCAACAGGAAATAAGAGACAGAGAGGAGGAGCCAGGGGAAGACACAGCCTCTCTCCCTAGATTGATTCTAAATTGGAGCCAATCTTCCACTATCCTGATCCAACAGCTAATGTCTGTTGGGTCAACAAGATCGGTCTAACTCAGGGGCAGGCAAAATACGGCCTGCGAGCTGCTTCTGGCACTCCAGGTACTTTCATCCAGCCCATGGGCACCCACCAATTAATTGTACCCCACCCAGCCTTCCGCCCCATGAGGGTGGGAGTGAGGTGCCCACATATATACACACTGTCCAACATGCCCTATTGAACCTCGCTCCCACCCTCATGGGCAAAAGGGCCTGTCCCAGCCAGCGCACAGTCTCCAGGTGGGCTGCTGCTGCCACAGTTGCAGCTGCCAGGGGACCTGCTTGGCTTCCCTGGCATCCCACTTGCTCTGGGCAGCAGGTAGGGAAGTGGCAGGAGTGGAGGCAGGGCAGAGCTGCAGTTGGGCAAGGGCAGGGAGTGTGAGGCTGGGGCTGGTGGCAGTCCAGAGCCTGCACCCAGAGGGGCTGTGGGAGTACAGAGCTTGGGTGGACAGGGTGTGGATGTGAAGGATCATAGTGGGATGTGGGAACCTCCCCCACATACTTCCCCCCAAATGGTGCACAGCCCCTGCAGGCAGCAGCAGGAGCACTGGCAGGCAGGGGTGCTCAGGGCACTTGTGCCTGGCACAGGCACTGCTCTGGCCGGTGCTGCACATGGGGCTGAGGAGCAAAGCCCAGCCAGGCCACCTCTATTGTGGGGGCTCCATGCAGCACACCTGAAACCCTCGGCACTTGTGGGGCAATGGGAGAGCCCGACATGCTGAAACTGGCTGCCTTCCCCAGCCAGGGACTCTGTCACAAGTGGAAGGGAGCCTGGCCTGCTGCTTCCCCACAGAGTCCGGGGACCTGCATGGCAGGGGGCGAGGAAGGTAACTGGCTCCAGCATCTGGGGCTTTTCCGGTTCTGTGTAAGTGCTGGGGGCTGCACATGCGCCGTGTGGAGCCCCCGCGATAGAGGCAGCCTGGCCCAGCTCTGCTTCTCATCCCCATGTGCAGCACTGGCCAGAGCTGCATACCATTGGGCAGCAGCACCTGTTCCCAGCACAAGTGCCCTGAGCACCCCTACCTGCTGCTGCTTCTGCTGCAGCCAGAGGAGGCTGTGTGCTGTGCAGGGGGGATGGTGAGAGGGTCCCCACATCCCGCCACAATCCCTCACACTCCACAAAAGCTACATACCCACACCCTGCCCCCACAACCTCCCCACATATACACACACCCTGAACACCCTATTGCCCCACCATACACACAAACACAAAATATACAGGAGTAAGACTTTATTTTTGACTTATTATGCACTCACCTGTATATACATTACACAAACACAAATCATGACAAAAATATTTTTTAAAATAAATTAAACTGTTATAGTAGGTATTTGACTTTTAGTATATGATTTGGGGGGGGGGGGGGGGGGTTTGTGGTTCCCCCCAGGTGTGGGGGGGGCACCCCCCCCCTCCCAA